TTTTAAAAATAATTAATTAATAAAAAAATATTATTACTAAAAACAAATGAAGTAAAGGAAAGGCGTGCAGGTGCAACATGCAAAGGCGTGCAAAGGCGTGCAGATGACAAACGGGCGTCACAAAATCAGTTAAGGAAGTGTGACAGACATTACGGTGTTTGTTAGATTTGACGGAAGTTAATTTTCCGTCCAATTGAGACCTTATTTGAGAATTTCGTGGAGTTTGAGACCTTAATTGAGTGTAATTGAAGTTTGGGTCTAACATTGCGAATTTTGTGTAAGTTTGGGTCATTATATCATATTTATGCCAAAAATAAAATTTGCGTTAATGATGGAAGTCTACCTCGTTTTCCAGACCTGAGACACTTGGGAAAAGTGCAACTCCATGGTAATGTTATGGCTTTTGAGATGAAGAGTATGAATCAAAGATAAATCTTCTTTTTGACCAAACGGCTGATTAATTGGAAGTGCAGTTCAAGACCAAATTCAAAGCAAGAAAAGGACGTTCAGGGTCAAAGAAAGGGGATGTTCAACGGTTTAGGTCTTTGTGAGAGAAAAGGGGTAAAGGGGGTTTTAATTATATTTTTTTTCTTGTAACAGAATCTCTTAACTTATTATTTCATATTTTCTCAACATATTTGTCGCTCTAGATTATATATGCTCTCATTTTTCTTTTTGCATTAATAATTTATCTATTATTATTCTTTCACTCGTTATTCTCTCCTCTTTATTGTTCTTTAGTTACTGATTGCATGTTCATCTATTATTATATTTTTTTTTACTTAATTTTTTTTTGTTTATCTATTATTTGATATTTTATGTTTTTTGAGGATTACAATTATAATAATTATTATTAACTATAGGTATATCTCACATTATTTTTAAATGCATTAAGTCATAAAAAATTTTGAATGAAAAATATAAAAGAAGATTTAAGCATATAAATTTAATCAATTTAATCTTAAAAAAAAAAAAGACAAATTTTCTTAATTTATTACCATATTAGTAAACTGCATAACGCTAAAGGCGACGTACCCCATCAAGTCAGTTGGAGACAGAAATACGTGACAAACGTCTTTCCTTCCATTTTCTCCATTTATTTTATGACTAAATTATTAGTTGGTCTCTAAATTTAGTAGATTAAAATCCTTTTAGTCCTTTATTTTTTATTATGATAATTTTAGCAAAAAACAAAAAAGAACTCTCTAGGGATCTCATAGATTACCATCTAATGCTGGCTGGTACGTACGGGTTTTCTATTAAACCGGTACACTAAAGCACTGGTTTTGTATCGCTAAACTTTTTGCTCATACTGGCCCAGAAATGGCTTACCGTACGAAAATTAGTGTACCGGCCGGCACCTAAGAGTAGAAATCTTAGACTTTTTTTAGGTGCAATTTTGAGCTTGTAAAAGAAAGAATCATACGATACTTAAAATAGAACAGGAAATGTAAAAGGGGAACACAAAGAGAAGATGCAATTACTGACCTTAATTAATTTGATCTGGAGCGAAACAAAATGAGAAAAGGCGCAGGTAATTAGTTCTAAAGAGAGAAAGAACAAAAACTACCAAAGAAAAAAAGAAAGAAAGAAAAATCTTTAGGTGTGAGGAGAGAGTTTAGTGAGGGCCAGACGAAGAGGAACTGGAAATCATGGAATCTGAAGGAAGGAAAGAGAGCTAATTAAGGTCGAGGTGAGACGAAAGAGATGATGTGTGGGGGAAATATGAAGGTAAGAGAAGGAAAGAGAACGCCGGGGGGGGGGGGGGGGGGGGGGGGGGGGGGGTGGGGAGGGTGCGATGAAAGTGGGTGTAAGGTCGGGAAATGAGTTTAGACCTTCGGTGTGTTTGATTAATGGTTGATATTTTCGGGAATGTTTTTCTTGAAAAAATAATTGAAAAAAATACACTACCAAAAGTGGTTAAGTTTTATAATAAATTTTGTTAGATATTAATTTTGTTATATTTGATAAGAAATTAAATAAAAAGGTATAAGGAAAGTTAAAAAGTTGTTAAGTAGTCTCACCTGCTGTTTAGTATTTGTTAAGATGTAATTATTATATTTTTTATATTAATTAGTGAGATAAGATTTACTTATGGTTAAATATTAATTTTGGTCACTCAACTCTAAGGTATTGTATAATTTTCATCTTTTAACTTTTTTTTGCACTTTTTGAATACTTTAACTATGAAAAATACAATTTTTTTTGTCTTCTGTCAGTTAATTTGTTAAGTATATCTGTATGTGCACATTTTTCGTCCTTCAACTTTGGGACAAAAAATGTGCATATATTAGAAGTTAATGGATTAAAAATGTATAGATTCAGATAGATTTAATGGATTAACTGACGAAAAAACTAAAAAAGTGCATTTTTCATAATTAATGAACTAAAAAACAGAAAAACTTAGTAAGTTTAGAATGAGAAGTTTTAAAAGTAAATTTATTTTATAGAGCAGTCTGTATGTAGTTCGTTATATAAAATTATTTAAATGTTTTTGAAAAAATAATATAAAATTAAAATTAAGGGCATTTAAATAATTTTATAAAGTGATTGCATAAAGTTTGTCTTATAAAATAGTTTTTTGAAATCTGAAAACACATTTAGCAAAATAAGTTTAAAAACTATTTTTATAGTGAATATAAATTTAAGAATTAAAAGATAAAAAAAATATAGTTAGAAAACTAAATATTTTCTTATAAAATTAGAAGATTTAGATAACGGGATATATGAAATTGAAATAAATGTGAAAAATAATAAACAAAATTGAAAAAATTCAAAAGTAATAAATAAAGCTGAAAAGAATATAAAAATTAATAAATAATTTATTAAATTAGGCGAAATGAATCAATTACCCGTTACAAATAAATCAATTACCCGTTACAAATAAATCAATTCCGCACCTATTTTCAACAGTAAGCCTCCAATAATACTACACTCGTTTTGTAAACAACGGCTTCAAAAGTTAGAGAGAATTTTCTCTTCGGAAAAAAGGGTAAATCAGCTCCTGTACTTAGTGAATAATGGTAAATCAGTCCCTTAACTAAAAATAGACACAAATCAGCCCCTCAAACTCATTGTATGGTTGCATATCAGCCCTTTTTGTATGGTTGCATATCAGCCCTTTTTGTATGGTTTATATTAAACATTCGTTAATTCATAATAGAAAGGTGTTTATGGTGGGCTTTACTACTTACATGACAATAAGATGGCATTTTTTTTATCCTATATTAGCTTTGATTTGGCACTAAATTAGTAATTTATATTAAGATTTTTCTTTAAAGTGTATTATTATATATTTTTATTATTAATTTATATAAAAAATTATGAGAATAAATTTTATTTAACATCAATATCATGTAAAGAATTTTAATTAGATGATTGATAAAATTAAAATAAAATTTTATTTTTTTATACAGCAATTACAACATAAGTCTCAATCAGTATTACTTAAATTTATTAGATTTATAACAATTATTTAACAAGAAAATAAGACCTGTCACCACCTAAAATGGCCGAAATAACAATTACTACAACATAAAATTATCATCATATTGACAGGTTAGTTCTTTGCCCAAAATAGATATAAGAAGAAGAAGTTATCATATATTTATAAGAAATTAGTCTGTAATTATAATCATTATCTACTTTAACCATTATTCATTTGGTTCAATTTTAGTAGATCTAATTTTTATATTTAATAAAATAAGAATGTAATAATTAATTGATAAAATTTTATATTTATCTCTAATTAATCATTATTTTAATAAACTTTCTTATTTAATATATGTTGTAGTTATTTTTTAAAAATAAAAGTGAAGTAGGAACAAATGTATTATATGGCATCCTAAAATAAACAAATAAATTTAAACACCTTAAATTAAAAATTAAGTATACTAAAATTGAACTAATATTTCATTTGTTTTTGTCCCAAATAACTATTACTTTTTATTTTGAATTTATTTTAGATTAATTGTTATTTGTTTATTTTTTATAGTAAATAAATGTTTTTTTACATTAACCTTATCATTATCTATTCATTTTAATTAATTATCTAATCATAAAATTTTTTTTTATTTTTTTATAAAAATGTTATATATAAATATAAATATCATTTTTAAATCCTTAATTTAATAAAAAATTTAAAATATAATAACTATTTTGAAAAAAATATATTTTATTAGTTTTTATTAGAGCTTTGATCACCGACTATAGTGATTAAAAAATAAAAATCTCGTCTAAATTATCTAAATAATAAAAAATTTTCACCTCAACCTCATATCATCAATAGAGCGCGGCATACCATCAATGGGGATGGGGCAGGCCAGAATGAAGTCCCCATTTGATTTAACGCGTTTTTGACGTCAGCCGTGTGATGAAGGCTGATTTGCAACCATATTATGAGTTGAGGGGCTGATTTGCCGTTTTTTACTTTCTCTTCCTTTTCCTGAACTTTTTCTCCATTCAGGTTGCAAGGATACTAAAATAAGAAAAAGTGGTTTACATATTGTCTTTTTATATTTATTTTGGAATATTGTTTAAAATATGTCTTTAAATTAATATTTAAAAAATTAAGTATTAAATCGAAAGTTTAATTTATATAAATCATGATAATTTTTAAATTAATTTAATATATCTAATTACTTTATTTATTATATAAAATTTAACATAATTAAATATATATCAAGAAATAAATTTTTTAATAAAAAATTATAAGTATTAAATCAATATAAAAATTAATATCCATAATTTATATAAGTAAAACTTTAAATTTGATTATTAATTTTTAAAAATATTAATTAAAATATAAAATTTTAAATAAGTCCTCTAATGTTATATTAACCCTATAAAATAATTCTCTTCATTTAATTGTGTTCATATGCGTTGGATTAACTTCTTCAGGAGAGATAATTATCTTTTTCTTTTCTCATATATTTTTCTTTGCCTTAGATTCCTTTTTCCATTGTCAATATCATAGCCCCGTTTTCAAAATGTAAATGGGATTGGATTCCTTTTTCTGTTGTCAATATGATCCCGTTTTCAAAATGAAAATGGAATTGCCTGCCGTTCAACTTCATTCTCAGCTTTCTGCAAAAAACAAGACAAGTAATTCAGAAGAGACAATTAACCGACCCAAAGAAAACATCTATGTGGAGAGAGATAAAGTTTGAGTGAATGTAACTGCACAATCGTCACCAACGTCTAACACCGTAGGTGGATAAGGGTGTTAGACGGATAAGGGTCTAAAGCTCAGCACCGATATGAAATGTGTACTTAGAATCTCTAACCATCAAGATATGACAGCGATTGGCGCGGTCAAAAATCGGTATCGGGGAATCAAGATTTATCTACGAGAGAATTTTATGATAAGGAGAGGTCATATCATATACACAAAAATTAATATTAATGTTAACTATTAATTATAATTATAATGCAATAATATTTATAAATTCTGAGACTTGAATATAAAAGTAGATAATCAAGAAGTTAAATTTTACTGAGTGATTCAATTACAAAAATTGAAGAGAAAATTTTAAGCTACTAATTAATGAGAATTATGTATCTTAGTTCTAATTAAAAAAAATTATATTTTTAACTTTAAAAATACCTCCTTTTAATGATAATTTTTAAAAATTA